GGGGGAGGAGGAGAAGAAGAGGAGGAGGAGGAGGAGGAGAAAAGAAGAAGAAGAAGAAGAAGAAGAAGAAGAAGAAGAAGAAGAAGAAGAAGAAGAAGAAGAAGAAGGGGAGGGGGAGGGGGTGAGGAGGAGGAGGAGAAGAAGAAGAAGAAGAGGAGGAGGAGAAGGAGAAGAAGAGGGGGGGGAGGAGGAGGAGAAGAAGAAAAGAAGAAGAAGAAGAAGAAAAGAAGAAGAAGAAGAACAACAACAACAACAACTCTGTAAGAAAACAATCCAGCTCAGAGAACACCAAAAGACCCCCTGAGCTACAAGTATTCTATCAGTTGCTAAATTAATGCTCCAAACCTCACTCACTTCTAGGACCAACGAGGTTACCTAGTAGGGTAATAAAACACCTGCAATAAAAACCACCAAGCTCGGAGACCACCCCACATTTAGCAACCGTTCAAATTTATGACGGCACTGAAAAAAAAGTGACGTGCAGCCAGTCCTCAAACTTCAGTCCATCGCAGCACCCTTGCAGAGACGTGATCCGATCGTCATAAGTTGAGGACTTCCTCTATCGGCATCTAAGCTTGTTGAGAATGTGTTTTGCGGGGATTTGTCCGCGCCGCACTCACACTGGATAGCGCGAAATCGTGGGAACGTGGGAGAGCCACCGGCTCCTGCGTCAAAGACGTCCTTCCTTTTATCCAGCCCTGGAGATGCTTGAACCGTGATGCGATGCTTAAAATCTGAGAGAAGAAAAGGAGAGGAAAATAACCATGAAAACCACCTTGAAGCTGATGGAGTCAAACCTAGCCGTTTTCTGCACTCGTCAAGCTGTGAGTTAACCCTGGTTGGGGATTTTCTCGGTTTTTTTTTAAAAGAAGGGAAATGTTTTTTTAAACCCAATTAAAACGAGGTGAACCCGATTAAAATGAGGTGAACAGAACAATTTATAAAAGTTTAAATGGTATAAAATAGGGATCTCTAACTTGCCGACTGGGGAATTCTGGGAGTTGAAGTCCACAAGTCCTAGTTGCCACGGTAAGAGACCCCTGGTGTAAAAAAATATTTAAGTAGGTCAGAAAGAAAAAGAAATTCTGCCTATTCCACCCCCACCCCCACAGGGGTCTTGGAGCATTTTGGCTGGTTTTATTGAACTCTGTTTTGGGATCGATTGTATTTTTTCTTCCAATGTGAACGACATGATGAAGTTTGGGGTTAGTACTACCATAAAATACAAGATTGTTCTAGAAGGAGCCAATGAATTTGGAGAGGGAGCCATTTTTAATTGCTCCCAGATCAAACATGGTCTCCTGATAGGTGAGTATGAGACTTCTATTTCCCATAATCCTCAAGGCACCACATTTATTTCCCAGAATCCTCGAGGCACCACATTTATTTCCCAGAATCCTCGAGGCACTACATTTATTTCCCAGAATCCTCGAGGCACTACATTTATTTCCCAGAATCCCTGAGGGCACCACATTTATTTCCCAGAATCCCTGAGGGCACATTTATTTCCCAGAATCCTCGAGGCACCACATTTATTTCCCAGAATCCCTGAGGGCACATTTATTTCCCAGAATCCCTGAGGGCACCACATTTATTTCCCTGGTTTCCCATGTGCCCTATATTTATTTCCCAGAATTCCTATTTCCCAGAATCTCTGTGTGCGCCCCATTCATTTCCCAGAATCCCCGAGAACGCTGGTCCGTTGCCATGGCAACCCTCAACAAATACCAGGGCCGTCTTTCGCAAAACCAAACCTCCCCACCGCCACCACCAGGCGGGCTCTCCTGCACCCGGCCTTCCTACCGAGCGGCATGCTGATGCGCTCGCTGTCCCTCCCTCGGAGCTTGTTGCGCTTGAAGGTTCCCTTGCGCTTCTTGACGTGCGGCCGGTCGCGGTTCATCTGCTGGATCAGGAGGCTGAGTTCGCGCTCAAAGACCTCCAGCTCCCACTGGGCCAGTTCGTGTTCTCGCTGGCGGAGGAATTCCTCCTGGGACTTCTGCTTCAGGGCCGCCTGCTTCAGCTCTTCCTCCCGGCTCAGCAGCTCCTGGGCAGAGAAACGGATCCCGGACAATCAGGATTGTTAGGTGCCGTTTTCAGGATCTGTTGTAACTTTGAATTGTTATGAAGCGACTGGATGTAACTCAAGGCCTCCCTGTATTTTAATTATTTTTAATTTGTTTTTATGTTTTGGGACGTACACCACCCAGAGTCCAAGGCTGAGGTGGGTGGCCATAGAAAACAGAACAATTAATCAATCAATCAATCCACATTTTATATCTGTGCCCCAGAACTGAAGGCAGGACAAGAAGCAACAGGTGGAAACTAATCAAGGAGAGAAGCAACTCGGAATTAAGGAGAAACTTCCTCACAGTGAGAAACAATTAACCTGTGGAACGACTTGCCACCAGAGGTTGTAGATGTTCCATCACTGGAGGTTTTTAAGAAGAGACTGGACGGCCACCTGTCCGGAATGGCACAGGTAGTCTTCAACTTATGACCACAATTGAGCCCCAAAATTATGTTGCTAAGCAAGACATTGCGTTTTCTAGAAAACCACAAAAAGAATCTTTGATTTCCTAGATAGGCAGACCTCAATGGAGCCCCACATTTCTGTTGCTAAACGAGACAGTTGTTAAGTGAGTTTTGCCCTGTTTTCTGACCTTCCTTCCACAGTTGTTAAGTCAATCATTGCAGTCGTTAAATTTGAAACACGGTTGTTAAATGAATCCAGCTACCCCATTAACTTCGCTTGTCAAAAGCTGATCGTATGACCCTGGGACACTGCAACTTTCATAAATACGAGTCAGTTGCCAAATGTGTGAGTTTTGATCACCTGACCACAGGGATGCTGCAACGGTCATAAGTGTGAAAAACAGTCATAAGTCACTTTTTTCACTACCGCTTACTTTGGAACGGTCACTAAACGAACTGTCATAAGTCAAGGACTACCTGCATTAGGGTGTCCTGCCTTGAGCAGCGAGTTGGACTACAAGACCTCCAGGGTCCCCTCCAGCTCTTGTTATTCGTTTAACTGCAGTTAAACAAATAACAGAGTTGGAAGGGACCCTGGAGGTTGTCTAGTCCAACCCGCTGCTGTTCGGAAAGGGGACACACTCACACCACCCCATTCCCCAGCCTTTCCCCTGAGATTCTCACCTTCTCTTTTGCACGCAGCTCGTCAAACATATCCTGGATCTCCACTTTCCAGTCGTCCTGCATGGAATGGAAGGACTCTTGTGGCAGGTCGTGGAGCACCTGTCTTTCGAGGACTGTCAGCTGATCGAGGATGGAGGCAAAGCTGGGGCGTGCGTGGGGGTCCTGCTGCCAGCACTCTGGCAGGAGGCGGCGGCGGCGGCGGCGGGAAAATAAAAGGGAAAGGAGTCAAATAACGGAGTTGAGAATCAGCCGCCCCTTGGAGACTGTGCAACGTCAAGGTGCCGGGCCGGTCTGCTAACGAACGCCATCTTGGAGCGGTGCGTAAAGGCAGGGACCGTGTTCTCCTTCGGAGACAGGTTGAAGCAGAAGTGGTCTTCAGCCGGTTCTGACCGGTTCTGGAGAACCCGTAGTGGAAATTTTGAGTAGTTCGGAGAACCAGCAAATCCCACCCCATCTATTCTCCACCTCCCAAGTCCCAGTTGATCAGCTGGGTCTCCTTTGGTTGCCCTGCACAGGAGAACGGAGCTGGAAAGCAGGTTAGTGGGGTGGGGAGGGAAGGGGGATTTTGCAGTCACCTTCCCCGCCATGCCCACCAAGCCACACCCCCAGAACCAGTAGTAAAAACATTTAAGTCCCACCACTGGCCGTTGAACGATTCGAGGAGAGAAGAGGAAGAAGGCAACTGTTGGAATAGCGTGTGGGGAAGACCTTGGGAGATGAGGCAAAGAGAACAGTCAGATAAAGGCAGCATAGCCCTCAACTGCACACTGGATGGAGAAAGAAGCTCAGAAGGGACCCTCCCTAGTTTCTCAGGCTGTAAAAGGGTGGGGAGAATATAGATCTATGGAGAGAGTATGAGCAAGTATGTGGGAAGACCTTGGGAGACAGAGTGAAGAGACCTGCACAGTAATGGTCGGATGAGAGAGCAGACAGGGCAAGAGGCTCGGAAGAGACCCTCCCTAGTTTCCCAGGCTGTAAAGGAGATGACTATAATGGTATGTGGGGAAGACCTTGGGAGAGGGAGCAAAAAGATACTGCCCAGGAATGGTCAGGTAAGAGGCAGTATAATGCTCGGCTGTGTAATAGGTAGGACGAGAGGCTCAGAACAGACTCTTCCTAGTTTCTCAGTTGGTAAAGGAGATGGCGGGTATGGTATGTGGGAAAGACCTTGGCAGACGGGGCAAAGAGATGCTGCCAAGGGAACAGGCAGATAAAAGACAGCATAGCCCTCAGCTGCACAATGGATGTAAAAAGAGGCTCAAATGGGACCTTCCCTAGTTTCTTAGGCTGTAAAGGGAGGGTCCTGTTCTGATCTAGGCTTCCCCCAAGAAGCACTAAGGAGACTCTTTGTCCTGGCAAAACCCCTTTTATTAAACGAAGGTGAATTTCTTGCATCCACCTTCAGCCAAAGGCCTGGCAAACAGTCTTTCGAGGGTCTAATGAGGAACACAGGCCTTATCTAGCCTGTAGAGCTGCCAAGGAAATATTTCCAAACGCAGTGCTGACAAGGAAGGGCTCGGCACAGAGATCTTCACACTGCTGCAAGGAACAAGTTGTTTCCTGCAAAAGCCCCTTCCCCTTTTGCTCCTTCACCATTCACCTGTGGCCTTACTCCCACGTCGACCCTTAGTTCGTAATTGTTCGTTCCTTTTGGCAGCTCTGCACATGCGCAGACTGGGAACGGGCTCCCGAAGCTCCTCCGCCTCACTGCTGTCCAAGCCCGAATGCAGCGGATGACTGCCAGCCTGCCCTGGCCCCATTTCTGCCTCTGATGCAAAGCCCTTGCCTGAGCCTTACTCAGCCTCCAGGACTGGCCCATGTTCCTCCCCAGCCTTCTCACTCTCCGACTTGGCTGCCAGCTCCGCTAGCCACCGGTGGGCCACAACAGGGGAACAGAATCTAGATCTATGGAAAGGGTTCAGAGTGTGTCAGGTACATGGGAAAGAGTTGGGGAGGCAAAGAGAGGAACAGTCAGAGAAGAGAAAGCTGAGCCCTAAGAAACTGCGTTGATACGTTGCTAAGTGAATCCGGCTTCCCCATTGACTTTGCTCGTCAGAAAGCCGCAAATGGGGATCAAATCACTCTGGGATATTGCAACCATCATGAACATAAATCACATGACCCTGGGGATGCTGCAAAGGTCGTAACGGTGGAAAACAGTCTCAAGTCATTTTCCAGCGCCATTATAAATTTGAACTGTCACTAAATGAACGGTCGTAATTAGAGGACCTATCTACTGGGAACAGTGCTGCAAGCCTAGATTTCCACTAGGTTAACAGAAGAGTGTCAGGATTCCAGCAATCGCCCTTATCACTCCTTATCGCCCCTCCCCTCCCACTTGTGACTTTGTCACTTGCATCCTAACGATTTTTATTGACTGTTTCCTTGTATGATTTGATTGCTTATTGTCACCTATGATTATTATTAAGTGTTGTCCCTGATGATTCTTGACGAATGTCTCTTTTCTTTTATCTACACTGAGAGCATTTGCACCAAAGACAAATTCCTTGTGTGTCCAATCACACATGGCCAATAAAGAATTGCATTCTATTCTATTCTATTCTATTCTATTCTATTCTATTCTATTCATCATGATTAATTAAATCATGATTCTCGAGCCAAACTTCAACTTCAAACTTCAAAGGATTTATTAGAGGCGATATACTGGCCCTGCCCTGTGTGAAACCAACTCCAGCATACGTCATTTACAGTCCCCTGTGACCCTGTTTCCCCCCCCCCCTCCTCCTCCCTGGGTGTGTCATAAATCACATTCTCCAAATGAACACGTTCACAGTCTGGGTGTCATCAATCACATTCTCCAATTAAATATATTCGCAAGCAAAAGCTCTGGTAGTTTAGCTACAACCTTTTAAAGATAAGAGTTGGAATGTACTTCCGCTTCCAAACTGCTCCATTGCTCTTCCAGATTTCCTTCCTCCCCCTTTTTCATTTTTATGGCAACTACCAAAACAGGCATAGGAATGTTTTACGGGTTGACAAAGAGAAGGGAAACATTTTAAAAGAGACTTTTTGTTCCAAACTATCTGAGCTATGCTCAAAATCCCCAATCTGGCCTCTTGAGATATTTCTTTTTCTTACCCGTCATTAAACGTACAAAGGGTTCCGGGCACGTGGATGGTATCGGGAGGGTGAGTTTGTTGACGGCAACCCCATAAGCCACAGCCAGCCCGTCAATTCCCCGGTATGGAACTTCGCCGGTGAGCAGTTCCCACAGGAGCACCCCATAACTGGAAGAACAAGAAGAAGAAACAGGGAAAAGGTTACAGGTGGTTCTCAACTTACAACCGTTTATTTGGTTGGGACCTTGGAGGTCTTCTAGTCCAGCCCCTTGCTCGAGCAGGAGACCCATTTCAGACAAGTGGCTGTCCAGTCTCTTCTGAAAAGCCTCCAGCAATGGGGCCAAACTTCAAAAGATCATTTAATAAAAAGTTGTAAGTTGAGGAATAACCCCCATTAGTCGTCTACCTGATGGGTTCGTCAGTTCGAGTCTCACCAGGCTCAAGATTGACTCAGCCTTCCGTCCTTCTGAGGTGGGTAAAATGAGGACCCAGATTGTTGGGGGCAATATGCTGACTCTGCAAACCGCTTAGGGAGGGCTGGAAAGCACAGTGAAGTGGTATATAGGTCTATTGCTATCTTTTCCTTCCTTCCTTCCTTCCTTCCTTCCTTCCTTCCTTCCTTCCTTCCTTCCTTCCTTCCTTCCTTCCTTCCTTCCTTCCGGTTAGAATGTACTATTGCAGGCTAATTCTGCCAAATGCCAGCAATTCGATCCTGACCAGCTCAAGGTTGACTCAGCTTTCCGTCCTTCCAAGGTTGGTAAAATGAGGACCCAGATTGTTGGGGGAA